TCAGCAACGTGCGGGCAGCAAGGTACCAAAGGAGCAGGCAGAGGATGGTCAAGGTCACAAGCCGGGTTCAGTAACTCACGGGCAGCGCGGTACAGGGGATCAGACAGAAGGATGGTCAGGCAAGCCAGGGGTTCAACAGGAGACGGTCAGCAGAGGTCAGGATCAAGCCGGGTCAGCAACGAAGCAGGAACACAAGATACCAGGTACAGAGGCTCATGGGAAAACATACACCAAGGCCCAGAGCACAGGCCTGGTCATGCCTTAAATACAGCTTTCTGCTATCAGTCCCAGGTTTGGCTGATTGCATGTGTGAGCTTCTGGCTGCTGAGAGCACCCGCTGGTCAGCTCTGGTACTGCAGCCCACACGGCAGGTGAGTCCCACCACCAGTGCTGAGTCCATTCCTGACAAAGTGTTATTTACACGAAACGCGTTAGAGAGGTGCCCCTGACCTGTGTACATATACTGCAAGGCTATCCTGACTGACACCGTGGTGGCCAGATCAGATCCAGATGTAAGTTTTATTTTAATCTGTATATGCTGGAATTTTGCTAATTAAAGACCTACTACACTATTAGAAGCTTTCTTGGGGCTCATCATTTCCATGGGAGCCCGCTTTTGAAGGTTCCTGATGATTTGGAGTGATGTGTGACTTCTCCCTCCCCCACTGGTGATTGTCCTGGTGGATGGCTTAAGAATACACCTAGACTGATGACATCTTGTGGCCCACTTGCAGATGACATCTTCCTGGTATCACAAGTCCAGAGCACCAGGAGCGGGTCTTAATTGCTCCACGCGCATTTAATGCGCTATCTGGTTACTGCAATGTTTGTACATTCACAACAACACAAGAGTCACGGTTATCCTTGATCATGGATTTCTTGGACATTTGCACATAATCACTTTGCTTTACCACTTATTATGGACTGAGTTACTTAACATATGTTATTGCGCAATTATTTATCTGATTCTTCATCTGATTTTATTAATATTAGCGCTGCATACTTTTTTTACATGGCTACCATGCATAGCTGCATCAGATGCAGAATGCACCAGCTTTAGTAAACCGCACCCCTCTGTTTTACTTATTCATATCAAATACATTGTTATTATACTTCACAGTAATTGTATCATCAAAATGTTAATTCACAAGAATAACTGAGTGATTTTTATTCATGTAACATTTTATTGAAAGCCTCTATTTTTTATAAATCTGTATTTTACATTTATGTCAAATATTTCCAAATTCTATTCTCAATAGACAATTCAAATGTTTGTCATTCAGAAGCTGTTAATATTTTAAAGAGTGATAGCTTTAATATTCCCACTAACATCTGAAATCTAATTGTTTGGTACAAATTCCATTGACAGCCAACAAACATACCTATCTAAAAAGGTATAACCCTATCTAGGACCTGAGGGTCAGCAAGGGCAGGTGTAGGTTGAGGCCTTTTGATCAGGTTCTGTCACATTTCAGATCCCCTTAGTCTTAAAAGAATTAAAGTTTTTTAACAATCAAAAGGGTCATTTGACCAAGAGTATCACACAAGTTATCATTCTTTAAAATATTAACAACTTCTCAATGACAAACATTTGAATTGTATATTAAGAACAGAATGTGAAAATATTTGACATAAATGTAAGATACAGATTTATGAAAAATAGAGGCTTTCAATAAAATGTTGCATGAAAAAAAATCACTCAATTATTCTTGTGAATTAACATTTTGATGATACAATTACTGTGAAGTAAAATAACAATGTATTTGATAGGAATATGAATAAGTAAAACAGAGGGGTGGGGTTTACTAAAACCGGTGCATTCTGCATTGCTGATGGGCAACATAGACATCTAATTTATAATACTTCCATATATAGATCATATTTTGCATTGTTTCGTCAACCAAAATGTTTTAATGTTTTGTACTGCAATCAGTTTTATAGCTTTTTTGTGTCCCTATTGAGAAAATAACCCGATATTTAATAAACAGACAGGAAGTGGTAGGCAATCTCTCCAAGGCCTTGTTCAAATGGGGTGTACTACTTTGTATGCCTTTGCAAGGGCCATGTATACCCACATGGGGATGTAAAGTGTTATCAAATTGGGAGCAGTGTCTGTGCCTGTGCAGCTGCTGCATCCCAACTGACATCAAATGGACTTCCTACATGAGGATGCATGGAACACCTGTGCATCCTCATGTGAACACACATGGCCCTAACATGGGTTTATACCGTATTATGCCCCATGTGAACAAGACCTTAATGGGACATACAAAGGCAAACACAATATGCTTTTATTAGAGTAGGAAAAGGATAAACAGTAACTTCTGGCAATTTATTATTTGCTTTCCTCACCTTCCCCATGCAGGTGTCATTTCCGCCATCCCCGTTGCTGGTGTCACAGGGGCAAGTAGCTAAGAAAATCCTCCCTAATGGTGTCATTAGCATAAGTAAAAAAAAAACCCTACCGAACCTATCCTAATTATTTGGCAGGACTTCCAGGGAATAGGAAGAAGGAAGAAAAAGTGTGCCTGATTAAAAGATGTATATAATTTCATAGAAGAAAAAACAGCCCCATGATTGAAAAAAAGTTTTTTTTTTATGATGTATTGTTAATAACTAATATGTGTAGACAGGTATGGTAACTGATATGACTGGATTTAAACGTAATATTCTTTGGAAGTCTTTTGTAGAGCTGTTTTCGAGAGAATTTGGCAAATCCTGTTTAACAAAGCCGGAAGAATTTGCAAATACTGGCAGTGACAGTGAACCTACTCAAACTTTCACAAACCATGAAGTTTATGAACTCAGATAATGTGAATCATCTGTGGAACAGTGATAACAAACAGTATTCCTGCTGTGTCCTTGCCTCATATTTGGTCAGTTTTCCAAAACCAAGGTCTTTTCTGGAAACTACAGTATATCAATCAAATCACAGTACAATATTGCCCTTTAAGGACCTTACTGATCAAATATAAATAAAACTAAAGATGTTTTGGAGCTGCTATTAATGTTCTTCCACAGGCTCTGAAAATACGACATTTAGAGCCAGTAAAGGTGAAAAAGAATCAGAACTATCGTGGGCCATGCATTGGTGGTACTACTGTCTTTTAAATGAAAATTGTACACAGAACACCAGACAAAAATAACAAATGTAGCGCTACTCCAGTAGGAGCTGCAGGAGTACTATCTGGGTCTTCCCCAAATACTTTGCCCCGCAGGCAGGCACATAGGCTCATTCACACTCTTCTCCAATAACCAATGTAGGGGTGTTGTTTTTGTTGTTTTTATTTTTGGAGAACTTGGATAGGGATGGGGAATTAGGTGGGATACTCCATTAAAAAGAACTATGTACAGATGAGGCCTTTCAGTAATCTCTTGGATAAGCTATGATGAAATCTATGCTTGAAGCAAACAGTAGAATTCGGGTTTACGGCAGCAGTAGCAAACGTAGTAGCAAGCTCAAGTAGAGTCCTTTGTAGCTAAAGGTTAAAAAGAAAAGCTCTTAACACCAGCCGGTATCCCCTTTAGCCCAGACCCACATCAGATTTCCTAGTACCAGAGGCTGTTAACCCCTTGACGCCGATCGCATGCAAATATACGGCCTCTCTGCCTTGACGCCAAGCGGCCGCATATTTGTGTGCAATTAAAAAATACATATGTGCTGAGAGTGCACACCCTGTGTGCTCCCAGCACATATGTCTGTTACTACCGGGAAGGTCCCGATCTCCCCTTTCTATCGGGACCTTTTCCGAACATTTGACCGCCGTGACGGCAAATCACGGCGGTCACATGACCCTCTCAACCCTGCCCCGCCTCCAGGCTTCTGAAACTCTTAATGGGCCGGGAGGCACCGGCGCCAAGAGGTTAAACAGCACGCAGTCTCTAAGATCCTTTATGGGTGTCTGTACTCAGAAGGCCCAAGAGCAGCTGGATGCCTTCCTCCTTGATAGCCGACCAGATCTGAAGTAGACGACCCCTCAATCAGTTTTTATCAGATTCCGATCGCAGCATTCAGGCCCTCAGGTCACCCACCTGAGACTTTCGGCATTAGCTGCCTGGGAGCGCAACGTGCTGGAGCTATCCTATGCAGGAAAGACCCAGAACTCAGTGTTCTCACAGAGTATATACAGTTACCCAGCATGCCATCAGAGCCATTCTCTTTGGGATAGGCTAAGGCTGTATTGATATTCATTCTGCCAGCTGCATAGCTCCACACCTATCATCCAGAAACTTCTCAAGCTTTCTGGATGCAGAGGGAGCCATCAGGTTGGCAGCAGCTGAGCAGACTGAGCAGACCTAACTAGCAGAACACAGCAACACTGATTGCAGTGTGCAAGTTATGCTTTTACTTAACCACTTCAAGTCCGGACACTTTTAACCCCTTCCTGTCCAGGCCAACTTTCAGTGCTGTCACAATTTGAATGACAATTGTACGGTCATGCAACACTGTACTCATATGAATTTTTTAGCATTTTTTTGAGACAGAAAAAAAACTTTATTTTGGTGGTATTTATTCACCACTAGGATTTTTATTTTTTTTGCTATATAAATGAAAAAGTCCAAAAATTTTGAAAAAAAGTGTTTTTCTTATAAAATTTTGCAAATAAATAATCTTTCTTCATAAATCTTGGCCACAATTTTTTCAGTTATCTTTTTAGTAAAAAAAAATAACCCAAATTAGTTTAGAATCAAAAATTATAATTTTTAAAACAATTTTTTTACATTTTTATTTTATTTTTTTTAATATTATTATTTATGTATTATTTTTAACATACAGTCACTCTAGCAGTACAGTGTCACCATGGTGACACTGTACTACTTGTGGAGGATGATGAAAATTTTCTTTTTTTTTTTTTTACACTGATTGCTTTTATACTCATAAAGGCTGTAAAAGCAATCATTTCTGTTTCTCTCTGGCTGCATTCTTGCAGCCATTGAGAAATACTGTGAGAGCTGTGATTGGTCACAGCTTGTCACATGGCACAAGGCTGTTGTGATTAGCCTTGTACCATGTGATCTCTGTGATCATTCACAGATTTCACACGTAGTAAGTAATGATGTCAGGAAGTGACATCTTGCTTACTACTATTCATGTGATCACTGATTGGCCAATCAGTGATAACATGATCGGGACCTCAGACAGAGGTCCCGTACAGCGATCGGTGTTCTGCTGTGTCCTCCGGACACAGCGGGCACTGGATAACGGTGCCTCGCGCTCCCAGGCAGTGCGCTGTTTAGGAACGGCAACCTACTCCTGCACTGCTCGTTTATATACATGGGCCGGACGGGAAGTGGTTAAAACCATCACAACCACATTGTCTACAGTGTGACAACTAAAGTTACCTATCAAAATACAAAATCAATATATAAACAGTATATTCATCACGCAAGTGTGATGTGAAAATATAGACCTGACACCTGAAAAAGTGCACAATATATCACTCACCTAAATAAATGAGTACATAAAATGTGTAAACATGCAGCTGCCCTAATAGTGAATAATCCAATAATAACCTCACGAAACAAAGACAAATTAAAGCATTTCATATCTTTCCCTGATTACGGAGTGTAATAGTTTGGAGGATGTCCCGCCATCATATCGGCTCTAATTGATGAAGGGCTTGTTGATTGATGACCTGTACTACGCTGACACTCACCATAAATGCTATCGCCTATCAGGTTTATCTGGTGAGTGCCACTGAATTTGGGGAGGTTTTCCTCTGGAGCACGTGGTGATATCTGAGTGCACTTTATATCAATCAATGATCATTATGTTGTTCATGTGGTGATCTAGTTGGATCAATAAGGACTTTGCACTTAATCACAATTTCCATTTTTCAGTTGATGTCAAATGATTTAAATATTTGTGTATATTTTTTGAAGTGTTAGATTTTGTATCATATTCCCACTTTGCTGATATGTTTCACATTTTTTTTGCGCTGCTTTTATTTGTCATTGTATCAAAATACAAACTAAATCTAACTATCTATACCTAACACTTCTCTAGGAAGGTACTACATAAGATACACATTAAAAGCCCTTTACAAGATAAAATAGAAAATCAGCTTTTGTTACAATATTTATTTTCAATCCAGAGCTCTTCCCCACAGCAGTTCTTTTCTACCACAAGATCTCAGTCTGATGGCCAGCATCATTCAACCCCCTTTCTCTAAGCACAGGTTGTCCTGGGCCTGACCAAGTCTGCGACTGGAAAATGAAAGGAGAAGCATCGTAGTGATGAGCCCATCTCGCTGTCATTCTGCTTTCTAATAATATCTGTATGTTCCTTGTCACCCTGTGAATTGAATGGCCCCTTCCACTGTTTCTCCATCTCACTCTCCAGCTCTGCTATACAAGGACTGTAAGGTTGCATTCACACCTGAGCGTAGCGAATTTGAGCGCTTTGTTTCACGATTGGTCCTCAATTTCATATAGCATTTTTCAGGCGTTTCTGAGCTATGCTGGGTTTATTTCTTAGCCAATAGAGGAAAATTATAATCTGTTGCATCATTTGTTGCTAGGTTTATCAGCTTTTTTTTTAGCTTTTCCATCAGCTTTTATTTCTTTTTTTAATTATTAATCATTTATTATTATTATATTTTTTGTTAGGGTAAGGGGTTAGAGTTAAGGTTAGGTTAAGGTTTGGGTTAGGATTAGGGGTTGGAGGTTAGGGTTAGGTGTTAGGGTTAGAATTAGGGTTAGGGGTTAATTTTAAGGTTAGGGGTTAGGTGTTGGGGTTAGGGTTTGGGTTAGGGGTTAATATTTTATTGACTTCTTATTAGTCATTTATTTTTTTTGATAGGGTGTTAATAATAATTATAATAATAGTAATAAATGAATAAATACAAGTAAAATAAAAATGAAGAATATGCAATAATAAATAAATAAACAAATATTTATAATATGTAATAATAAATATATAAAACCCCCTAACCTTAAGGGGTTAATTATTATGTATTTATTGATTATTGCATATTATTTATTTATTTTTTACATGATTATTTGTTTGTATTTGTGTATTTATTTTACATTTAATAAATCAGGGGTCCTCAAACTCGGCCTGGCGAAGCCATCTATCCGGCCCACCAGCAGGGGCCGCGGCGTATTTGCCGCGAGGAAGGGACACTAAGTACAGGGGCGGGCAGGGCTGTTGTATCTTACCTGGCTCCAGTCCCAGTCCCACGACGATCCAGTCCAGGAAGCGCTGCTCCTTCATTCACTCCAGCCACTCCCTCACTCGATGTTCGCACTGCCGCTCGGCTCTGCCTCCTCACTGGTGATTGGGCGCCAGAACTGTAGCTCAAGAAAGGCCCACAGACGGCCAATGACCTGCGAGGAGGTGGAGCCAAGTGGCTCCATGAATATCGAGTGAGGGAGAGGCCGGAGTGAAGAAGGACAGCTGAAAGGTAATTGTGCTGTGCAGATGGTGCTGCTGCAACCAGGTATGCTGGCTGCAGCAGCACCATGCTGGAGCAGGGGTCAGCAAGTTAAGTGTCATTGGTGTCAGTGGGAGGAATAGTGCCCCATCATTGGTGTCACTGATACTAATGATGGGGCATTATTCCTCCCACTGACACCAATGATGGGGCACTATTCCTCCCCCCACTGACACCAACGATGAGGCACTATTTCTCCCTCCCACTGACACCAACAATGGGGCACTATTCCTCCCCCCCACTGACACCAACGATGGGGCACTATTCCACCTCCCACTGACACCAACGATGGAACACTACTCCTTCCCCCACTGACACCAATGATGGGATACTATTCCTCCCACTGACACCAATGTTGGGACACTATCCCCCCCCACTGACACCAATGACGGGGCACTATTCCCCCCCACTGACACCAATGATGTACTATTCCTCCCACTGACACCAAAGATGGGGCACTATTCTTCCCACTGACACCAATGATGGGGTACTTTTCCTCCCACTGACACTAATGATGGGGCACGATTCTTCCCACTGACACCAATGATGGGGCACTATTCCTCCCACTGACACTAATGATGGGGCACTATTCCTCCCACTGACACCAATGATGGGGCACTATTCCTCCCACTGACACCAATGATGGGGCACTATTTCGCTCCATAAGGCACACTTGGGGGGAAATGTCTGTGCATCTTATGGAGCGGCCGTCCCAGTATTCCCGCCGCAATTGTTTGTCCGCAGTCTCTGGTCATCTCCTGTACTGTGTCCGCATTTGTTTATAGTTTTTTTTTAAACTATAGTCTGGCTCTCCAACGGTCTGAGGGACAGTGAACTGGCCCCCTGTTTAAAGAGTTTGAGGACCCCTTTAATAAATCATATATATTTACTATATATTTTTTTTATTTTTTTAATTTGAGCAGAAAAATGCTCCAAAAATGCATAACAAAACATGGAAAAACTCGTAAATATCACTATTTCCATTAATTTCTATGGAATTAAAAGTGCTCAAAAACGTGCAAAACTGCTCGATTTGAGTGACCAAAATATTCTAACCACCTTTTATACATTATACGTTTTTAGCTAGACTGAAGTTCAACTTTAAGGCTTTCTTTTGCAAGACTCTCTTTTTCTCTGTTGTCTACCTAAATATATTTACTGCCAGTTTATTTTTCCCTTTTTACAGAACAAAATATAGTGTGTATGTTGTCACAGTAAAAGCAGCCATTTTGAATTAACAAAAGAATATTGAAGTTAGAAGTGTACTCTTTAATTTGTCATGCTTTTTTATGACAAAGTTTAGTTTCTTAAAAAAGACTAAAATCATTTTAAAAGCACAAAAAAACAACCTTCAAAGGAAAACCGCAATTCTTCTTTTGCTGACTTCTCCTTCCTAAAATGGTAGTTGCCTAGTTTTCATTCTAATTGTCTTTTTTTTTATCAGTAAGGGCCAATTCATACACCAGAGTGGTCTGTTGCAGTGCATTTAACACAAAGCTTTAAACCAGGGGAAGGCAACATGTGAGAGGTGGAGATCTACCATGAAAACATGGAAGAGATCAAAGATCACTGTCGTGCCCCAGCCTTTTTTTTTTTTTTTGGATAACTATAAAGCCCCCAAAGGTCAGTAGTGGGTAGGACAGTGTACAAAGGTTGGTAGTTGGTAGGGCATTGTATAGATGTCAGTAAGATCTATTGCAATGTACAGAGGTCAGTATGATGTAGGGCAGTGTACAGAGATCAGTAGGATGTAGGGCAGTGTACAGAGATCAGTAGGATGTAGGGCAGTGTACAGAGATCAGTAGGATGTAGGGCAGTGTACAGGGATCAGTAGGATGTAGGGCAGTGTACAGAGGTCAGTAGGGCAGATGACAGGGGTAAGCACTGAACAGGAGAGAGACTTGCAAGGCAGAGAACTGGGCAAAAGACAAGGGGTCAGCAGGGCAGTGTAAAGGGGGGGGGGGGGTCAGGAAGGCACAGTAAAAAAGGATATGAAGGGCATGCTAAAGGGGGGTCTGGAGGGCACAGCACAGAGGGTTCTAGAGGACATGGTACTGGGGGGTTTGGAGAGCATGGTACAGGGAGGTCTGGAGAGTACAATGTAGGGGGATCTGGAGGGCACAGCACAGAAGGGTCAGGACAGCCTGGTACATGGGGGTCTGGAGGGCATGGTACAGGGGGGTCTGGAGGACACTGTTCAGGGAGGGCTAATGGGCATAGTAGAGGGGGATCTGTAGGGCACAGCACAGGGGGGTCTTGAGGGCATGGTACAGGGGGGTCTGGAGGGTACAGCACAGGGGGGGTCTGGTGGGCATAGTAGAGGGGGGTCTGGAGGGCATGGTAAAGGGAGGTCTGGAGGGCATGATACAGGGGGTCTGGAGTGTGTGGTACAGGGGGGTCTGGAGGGCACAGCACAGAGGGGTGTGGAGGGCACAGCGCAGGGGAGCCTGGAGGGCACAGTGCAGGTGTTCTGGAGGGCACAGTTACTTGTACTAGTGCTCTGATCCGCACTGGTCCTTCTCTCTGGTCACATGAGGTCACTTGACAGAGCCTGAACTAGCAGAGAATCCTAGGCAGCAGAGACATTCCCTGCCCCGCAGCTGCACATGAATTGGGCATTCTGCGGGATGGGGAATGTCTTCTTCTAGAACTGGCTTTAAATGCTTCCCTGCTTGAGAGCTCAGACAGCAAGATGCCGGAGCTCTTTCCTTCTCTGCGCTGCTCTGCCAGTCAGTGGAGGGGGGAGGAGGAGCACTTGCTGGTTGCCAGGGTGCACATGTGGATCACACTTGATGGGTTAATGACCCCTGCTTTAAAGTCTATGTTTAGTACATTTTTTTTAAATTAGCACAAGGGACAGA